TATATATATATATATATATATATATATATATATATATATATATATATATATATATATATAATATATTATATATAATAATTTTATAATAATCTATATAAAACTATAATAGTTGTTCAGCAAGGAAGCAGATGATTCTTCTCAACACTCATAAGTCTGTCATTAGGAAGCCTTCTAATTTTTATTTATTTTTATTTATATATTTTATTATTATTATATATTTCGTCTGCAGAAGATACAATTTGCAGTGATGAATCAATTAATTCTTCGGTTAATAATAACTATAATTTTGATGACACTGCTCTACGCAAATTATTATTATTTTTTATTATTATTGTCAATTTTTGTTTCTCGCTTTTCCCTTTTATTGCCATTCAAAACTCATTATCATCGTTATTTTTATTTTTATTTTACACTGCATTTCTTTTTATTCTGTTTATGCATAAATCTTCTTCAACATTTTGTAACAATGAAGTGTCTCCCGTTTATATACACATCAATAAATTGTATTACTATTATTATAAAATTTTTAAAAATAGATTACTTAGTCTATAAACGTGTTTGCCAAAGTTATATAACAATACGTCATTTAGTTAATTAAAAACAAATCATCGACTTCTTCATTATTCAAGGTTATTCAGATCAAAATATAGATCAAAATTTTGATCAATTCAGATCAAAATTCAGATAAAAATTCTGATCAATTCAGGTCAAAATTCAGATCAAAATTCAGATAAAAATTCTGATCAATTCAGGTCAAAATTCAGATCAAAAGCAAAGGTTCAACTAATGATCCGCTCCCTTCTACGATAATTTCAACGGTTTCGATGGTGCCGACCTAAAAAAAATTAACAAGTACATATAAATATGTATAAACGAATCTGCGAATTTTCGTAAAAATATATGAAGTGGTTTGTTTGTAAAAAGATTGTAAAAATGTGTCCACAAAAAACGTCTATAGAAAGTGCGCCCAGGACTAGATAGCTATAATTTCTACATATTATATATATCGAATTTGGTGAACCGTGAAAGTTCAAAGTTCAAAATTCTTCGATGCCGAATCCACGTGCATCGATATCTCGACGCACAACAAGCTGATAGCAACAGTTCTCCCTTGTCAGCTACCGCGGTCTGTTGATGGACTACCTGTTGATCAGCAACCTGATGGCTTCGGTAGTGCTTCGCGACAGTTTGTCTCGGTTAATCCGACACTTGTGCATCCAAGGCCGCTTTCATGCTAGCCGTTTACCATTGTACCGTGTTGTTTCACCGGAAACCATATTACTTTCGACTGCTTTCGAATGATAGTTAATCTTACAGAGGATCTCTGAATTATGGACGATGACTTCTGTAAATTTCGAACGCGCCTGCTACCGTGATTCACCTTGATCTTCCAGCCTTTATTATTTGTGGGAAGACAGTTGATATTTATATAAATTATTACTTCTGTAATTAAATTTGCAGAAGAAAAATGCTTATTTTCGTATCTCAATATTTTCATGTTCTTATGATCGGTGGAAAGTTGATCATTTTTTACCGAGAAACTAATTGAGATATCTTTACGAAATTTGACACGTAATTCAACCGATATTGAAACTATATTTACGAATTTTTATAGACCGGTATCATCGAAGCCATAGTAATTATTCATCGGGGAAGCAGATCTTTTCTTCAAGGTAGTTTTTTCGATTCTTGAAAGATTGCAGCGGATGATTGATAACTTTTTTTGCGGTGAAACTGAATGAGACATTTTTACGGCATATGGCAGACAAATTGACGCATGTTTAAATTATGTTTATGAATTTTTATAGATCAGTGTCATCGAAACTAGAGTAATTATTCATCTAGGAAGCTGATCTTTTTTTGACGCCTTGTTTTCAATTCTCCAAAACTGCAATGATTTCTTGATAATTTTTTCACGGTGAAACTGAATCAGACATATTTATGGCATTTTGCAGACCAATTGACACATATTTAAACTGTACTTATAAATTTTTACAGATTGATATCATCAAAACTGTAGTAATTATCCACCGAGAAAGCAGACGTTTCTTCGGTCATTTTATTTTAACCCTTTCGACTAACAATGACTAGATTAAGGATTTTTCACTGAAAAACTAAATAACACATTTTTACGAAAATTGCCAGGCGTATTTACACATGTTTTAACTATACTTGTGAATTTTTATAGAACTGTATCTTTAAAATTATAGTAATTATTAACCGAGGAAGCAAACTATCTCCAGGCTTCGACAATTCTCCCTTGAATCTCTAAAAACAACAATGAAGAATTGAACAATTTTTCATGAACGAACTAAATAATACATCATTATGAAACTTTGCAGATATGTTTAGATAGATTCGAACTACGTTCACGAATTTTTGTAGACTTGTAGCATCAAAGCTATACAGTACAGTAATTTTTTGCTACGACTCGAAGGCAATTCGGAGGCCACAAGCGACGATTCGAAGGTAATTCGGAGGCCACATGCCACGATTCGAAGGTAATTCGGAGGCTACATGCCACGATTCGAAGGCAATCCTTAGCATCAACGTAGCAATAAATTACATAGGCGTAGGACTAGGGAAATTCACGGTAACCCGAAATTTGGCATTTCCGGGAGAAATTACTGTACTTATTAACTGAAGAAGTGAACTCTGTCTAGGATTCGATTCTCGCTCGAACCACCAAAAGGTCGAACGAAATAAAAAATATCTCGACATTTTTTGGTAAACAAAGGATATTCGTCGCTTTAACAACGAATTGTATCATGTTCCAGACCGACTCGAAAATGGTGTTCGATATAATCCAAAGAATGGAGGACACGGAGCCATTCAGCGAGGAGCTTCTGGCCGCGATGAAGAGGCTCTGGGCGGACAGCGGGGTCCAGGTGTGCTTTGGCAGGAGCAACGAGTACCAACTGAACGACTCAGCGAAATAGTAAGTGCCGGCTAATCGATCATCCTTCCACCCTGAGCCCATAAATCTCCTTTAAATTCAATCTAAACTTCGCGCGCCATCGAAAACAAAACGACGTTCGCCAATAAACTGCCATTTTCCGCTGAACGATCTTCACCGGTGAGAGAAGGAACCTGAAAACCATTCTTCTGCATTCTTCTCCGTTCTGGAAAAATTTAACGGCGGTTCAAATCTCATGAAAGTCGAAAAAGCTCAGTTCTAGCAATTTATTGCAGGATAATTACGTTTCGTTGCGCTATCGATCGAAGGACACGTTTGTCACTTTTTCTACGTGTTTGCATTTAGGGAAAAGTTCATTTTTTATAATACTTAAAAACTGCGATACCTAAATTTATGTTAATTTTATTATGGATTATCAATTATTTACAGGTTCCTCTAGTAAGATTATTAAATCGCCAAATTATTTAATTTTTATGATTTGTATTTAGCTATTTTATAATTTTATTAGTTCAATTGCTAATTTTATAATTTTATTAGTTCAATTGCTAATTTTATAATTTTATTAGTTCAATTGCTAATTTTATAATTTTANAGTTCAATTGCTAATTTTATTTTTTATGATTTGTATTTAGTAATTTTATAATTTTATTAGTTCAATTGCTAATTTTATAATTTTATTAGTTCAATTGTTAATTTTATAATTTTATTAGTTCAATTGTTAATTTCATAATTTTATTAGTTCAATTGTTACTTCTATAATATTATTGGTTCAATTGTTAATTCTATAATATTATTGGTTCAATTGTTAATTCTATAATATTATTAGTTCAATTGTTACTTCTATATAATATTATTAGTACAATTGTTAATTCTATAATATTATTAGTTCAATTGTTAATTTAATAATTTTATTAGTACAATTGTTAATTCTATAATTTTATTGATGTAATTATTAATTTCATAAAACAATTTTCGGATTGGCAACAATTAGGCAAGAATAAAATGTGATATTATCTTCCATTTTGCATTTTGTTGCATTATATTGGTTAAATTAAAGATTCATCAAATTTTCTACGAGTTGAGCACATTGCTTAAACAATTCACGAATTGACAATAATTCAAAATAACTGTGCATTTACAAAATGATGGATAAAGTATGATTTCGTTGCATCATTGGTTAAATTGGAGGCTACCAAATTTGTGCAACGAGTTTCTGGTCATGTGAACCACCTTGTTTAGAAAATCCCGGGTTAGGTTACAATTAGGAGCAGCAACGTGATTTCCACGTTAAACGAACTCTCCAGAATGGCCGAAAAGCATTTTCCCCTTGAAGGTAAGCCATCGAGAGTCCCTCATTAAATTTCCAAGCGAATCGATCCGCCATCTCGTTTTCTCGAACCCTAACACCTTCCAGTAGAAAGCTTCTGGGGAAACCGCTGTCCTTGTTCTCAGAGTCAAGGGAATATACGCAGAATCAATAAGAAACCCGATGGAAAGATTGCCTTTCTCGTATCTTCTAACTTGTTCTGTTCAACTTCTATCCGGTGTCGTCGCTAAATTCTCTAATTGCCATTCTTTAATTTCTGTTGATTCCTTTAAGTATTCCTTTGAAATTAATTTTGTTTAACTTTCAGCGAGAATAGGAACAAAATTGCTAGGTAGAAATGTTTATTGAACGTCGCCTTAAAACGTCCCCAAAGGATCATTTTAATATCTCCAATAATTTTCGAGAAAAGTGATTTTGAAGCCGCAAAAGTACCATTTTTTACTTCGCAGAAATTTAAGATATTATTTTGAAATAAATTTCGATCAACTTCGGATCAAATTAAAAAAACAAACACTGGGTGGAAATATTTATTGAACATCGCGCTAAAATACTCACAAAGAGCTATATCGATATTCGTAATAGTTCTCGAAAAAAGTAATGACGAATCTACAAAAGTGCCATTTTAGAAATGAACATTTTAGAACAGAAAATGAATATTTCAAGTACTTGTCGTACTCCATTCGAAACCAGACCAACGTCGTTCGATTCCTCGTGAATTCTCGTTTCGAAACAATAATTTAAAAAATCGATTTTTCTAACTCAAGAACAAAGGCTTCCTTCGAAAGGGGAAGAAGACGACGACGAACGCGCCGATGCAACATGTTGCTCGTATCAAAACGCTCGCTATCCATTTTTCGTCACCGATACCTAGATAAATCTTTAGTCAATCTCCGATCCTTAGCTTCCGAGAAATTATTTACTTGTCGTGCACATCCTGACACGTGCGCCGGGATGAAATTTGATCACCAGTTGCATTCCGCTCGCGTTGCACAGTGCTATTTAAAAGCTTAAAGCACAAAGACACCTGCTTCAAAATAAATGACGTGTTAAGTCGAGGAATAATATCTAAGAAAGGAAAGCAAAAGTTAATTTTTCTTTTAGTGAAAAGAATTTTGAGGTATCAATGCGTTAACGGCCGTTGTCACGCTGACGTGACTTCGCTGTGCAAAAAGTTGCAGGCCGGCGACACGAAAACGTGACTTCCCGAGAAATGAAATGATTTGTTCGAAGGACAATCTTAATAATTGCTTTTTCATTAATTTTGTTAATTGCGTTTGTTCTCGTTTTATTGGGTCATTTGGTTTATTGGAAATATCATTGTGTCCGTAATTATTTCCTTTTAAATTTATAATATAAGCACTTTGTTATTACAAATTATATTATAGAATCGTTTAACAGTTTCTTTAAAAAACCTTTATTAAATATTATTTAATCATTAGCAATCCTTTGACAAAACCAAGGTTTTTATTATATAACAATCCTTTAACAAAACGTAGATTGTTATTATTCAACAATCCTTTAACAAAATCTAGACTTTTACTATTTAACAATCCTTCGATAAAACCCA